AGAATGCCCTAACACTTCTGAAAATGAGTCTCTCAGGTTTTGGAAAGTCTGAATATTTTGAATCATAGTAAATTAGCTGGCTCCTAGGCAGTATCTATGTCATGAGATTGGAAAAGGATAGGAAAAAGAAAAAAAAACAAAACAAAACAAATAAAAAAAAAACAACCAGTGTAGTTCTTCACTGCTTTTTCAAAAATTTCCAAGATGGTTGATAGCTTTTCCAGGGTTGTGTACATGCAGAAGGAGTTCAGTCCTCCTTTGGAGTACTGCTTAGAATCATAATCTAAATTGTGATTTTTGTTCATAACTTCCCTATCAAACTGTGACAGAGGTTTAAGCAAAAAGTAGGGCAGCAGCATCCTCTAATCCTCATTCTTTTTCACAAGGAAAGTTATGTATGAACCCTTTTTCTTTTTTGCTCCCCAATTCCAGCAAGCAGTGCCAGCTTGTTCTGAGGCCATTTAAGTAGATTATAAATATTATTACCCGAGCTCTGAAATACCTCCCTGCACATTGCATTATTTCAAATATTTTAATCCTTTAATCTGTATACTATGTGACATCTGGGTAGTTATCTGACATAATAATTCATGTTGACTGTGTGTATCGTTATGTGTCATATGAGAGAGGTGCCAAGCAGTCACAGTGAGATGAGGATTTAGTTAAATGCCCATAGGCGTGCCTTGGATCAAGGGAGATCTACCTGCACATTGCATGACCAACCTACCACCAGTGCAGCTGTGTAAATTCCTTGTGTGAGTGTAATAATATCCTCAGATAAGCACCAAACAGAATGGAGAGACAAGATAAACTAGTAGAACCCAAGTTACAGAAGCACATTAATATTTACTTGATATCTCTTTATACCCTCTAGTCAGCATGACAGATGTAGCTGTGTTTTAAGACATTATAATTCATTGAAAAATGGAAAAAGGAGGCTTTACCTCCCTCCCCTCCCTGGTAGTATCAGATGTTCAGTGTCTATATCGGTGGGAGGAGGAGGAGAGCCAAGTGCTAGTGGGAGAAGAAGGCAATTATTCCAGAGCCTCCTGATGGGCATGTGCTTCTTCCTTCCAGCTTCACTGCTTTGGCCATGGGCTGAGGACTCATGGGACATGGACCAGATTGAAAAAGTAGAAGCAGACAGATGGTTATTTGTAGTCATCATGTAAATGTAAATCCTATAAAAATATTTCTTTTCGAAGGGCCTGGAAGCTTTTGTGGTGAAAAGTGGGATTAAGACATGGTTATCTAGCCTAGAATAATTTTGACCCCACCACTTTTCCTCCCACCCTATAAACGTTGTTTTATCTCTGGTTCCTTGAAACAAATTGCCAGAGCCTCAGTCGAGGATATTAATTTGGTTTCCACATAATTCCCTGAGTTTACAAGCATTGGTTTGGCTTTGACCTGGATTTGGGCCTAAGCTGACAGGTGCTGGTGAGCAGTTGCCATGATAGCAGGGGTTTCTTTTTGTCTTTTTTCCTAACTCTGGCAGATGCCTGGCCTGGAAGCATTTATCTTGCTGCTGCTGTTGCTAGATGTCATTGCTGCCCTCATGAATACCTGTAAGTTGGCATGCAGGCTTTTGCATCCCTTGAAGACTGATGTGACAGTTCACAGACATCTATCTTGTTTGAGCAGCACCAGCCTTGTTAGAACTACAAAGAGACTTATCAAGCTTTAATTAACTTTTGTCCACAGCACCATCATCAGCTGTACGTGCGGCCTAGCTGTCCTTTCTCACCCGTAGCCTCCCAGTGCCTTCCCAAGAAGCAAAGCTGGGAGCCTTATGCAGCTCTAAGGCTGCGTGTGGCTACGCATGAGGGAATCAGCACTGCCACCGGGCTGGTAGAGGGGAGCAGGGGCCAGGCCATCAGCTCTCTGTCTCTTTGGTGTCCTTCATTAAATGTATACTGAGGGCAAGCGTTAATGTTGGATTAGAGCAAGAAAGTATGTGAGGTGAAGAGGGGGAGCCTAATGGCAACGCTTCACCTCTTGCAATGAATTTTTAAAAAGCCCTGAGGAGGGCTGGCTTTGAGAGGGAACAAAAGCCTCTTGCCAGTGTCAAGGGAGGGAATCTGCTCGGGCATGCTAGCAGTTATTTGGAAACGTATGGCAATTGTGGATAATTGGCTGAGGAATATTTTGCAGCTCTCAACCGTTTTTCTGTTTTCACAGATGATTGTGCTATTAGATATGGTGAATGCACTAAGCTGTGCTGCAACTTTTCCATTTATCCTAATATGTGTGAGCTCCACTTCCTGTTGATGCTCCCTCCTTCTGTTGTTTTCTGTATTGCTGAGGTCTGCTGCATGCAAGCCAGCACCCCAAAATCTCCATCATGAGCCCTTGCATGTCACATGGGGTAACATTTGGATGTGCTGGTGTAGCTGCATTGATCAGATTAGTCTGTGCTTTGTATTGGTGTTATTATATTCTGCTAAAGTCACTGAGGCAGAGAAATGGCAGCCTATGCCCTCTAATCATTTTGGGTTGGGGTTTTTTTTGGGGGGCGGGGTGGGATTGGTATTCTTTTCTTTACCTGGCTTTTCGTTTTTATTCTCTCTAAACTCTGTGTTCCCCCTTTTCTTCTCTGATTTGTTTTCTCTTTGTGTTTCACACATTTTTCTCTCTTTCTCTTTCTATCTCAACTTTATTTTTACCTATTTCATTTTTCTCACACAATGTTATTTGCTTTTCTCCACAGAATGCTATGGCTGGAAATATTGGGATATATCTATCTAAGATTTGTATATGTGTTGATGGACACAGCAAGATTAAGTAAACACTCTAGTATCAATTTTGTCTTCCATCAAGTCACATTTGCAGTAGGACTTGAGTAAAGGAACATGTTAAAATCAGATCTCCTCAGCTTCATATTCTGCAGCTGATTAGAACCTTGCACAGTTGCAGGAATGACTCAGAGAAAGTGAATGTAATTTGCTGTGAATCGCCCCAAGAAACTCTGTTCTTCAGCTTCACGGAGCATTCAAGGAAAATGATTTCATTGGCATTACTGCCAAGAGTTAGGAGTGGGAAGGATAAAGTCGTTGTGATGTTGGAACTGCTGATGTTCTGGGGATTTTCCACTAATGAATTTGCACTGGAGTTCTACAATTATATAAAAAGTTAATCCAATATAAATTAATATTATTTTCATGTTATGATAGCAGAAGTTCATGTTTCCTATTTGCCAATTGTGTGAAAGACAACATATCACTGCCTAGAAGTACTTTTTTTCCTGTGTTGTATAATAGTGCCAGAGATACATGAAAGTGTTTCCCAAAATAGGTGCTTTTGTAAGACTTTTTTTTCCCCTCATTTTTTCCCTGAGGTATCAGCTTTCTTGGCTTTGTTTGAAAAATGGTGTAATACAAAATCATTGAATCATAGAATGGATTGGGTTAGAATAGGCATTGCAGATCATCCAGTTTCAACCTCCCTGCATAGGTGGGTTGCCACGCACCACCTCAGCCTGCCTAGGGCCCTGTCTAACCTGGTAATGAACACCTCCAGGGATGGGGCATCCACAACTTCTCTGGGCAGCCTGTGCCCATGTCTCACCACCCTCTGAGTAAAAATTCCTCCTAATATCAAATCTAAATATCCCTTCTTTTAGTTTAAAGCCATTCCCTCTTGTCCTATTACTATCAGATCACACACAAAAAAGTCAGTCTTCTTCCTGTTTATGAGTTCCTTTGTACTACTGGAAAGCTGCAGTAAGATCTCCCCTGGCCTTCTCCAGGCTGAACAAGCCCAGGTCCCCCAGCCGTTTTTTATGAGAGAGGTGCAGCCCACCATCTTCAGCATAATACTACTGTGTTGTGCATTTTGTAAGGTTTTGATCTTAAGGTACTATAATTTCTACTTCTGTCAGTTTGGTTATAGGAAGTCAGAAGTATTGGAGTGTTTGGTATTAATCAGAAGTATTTTGGAGTTGAGTCTTTCATTATCTGTTGGAAAATATGTATCTATTGCGTATATTATTGAGAATAACAAGTTCTTGCCAGAGTTGCACCCATTTCCTACTGTGTCAGTTTTATTTTATGCTTGAAGAGTAAGGTGTGAATATTCACCTTCTTACTGTTAGGAAAGGAATTAGCTGCCAATTAATTCCTTCCTTCCTCTGGGATTTATCTGTGTATCCCAAAATGCAAAGCAGTGTGTTACCTTGTATGTCATTTTGAGTGCTACCCTTATACAGGTTACTCACATCAGCCCATTCAGAGACCAGTTCTTCTATGTATTAATCATATTTTCTTGTGGCTTATTACAGACCAGAAAAATATCTACTTCCAAATGTTAAAATGGGGCACATTTCATTAATATTGAAAGCAGTAAATTATCTCTGCTTATGAGATGAGACTAAGCAATTTCTGCTGAACTCTTCCTGACTTGCTCCTTCACTAAGATACGGTGTTTTCTAATTTCTCAGAGGGCCCTGTTTTCATTAAGGGCAAGAACCCTTTAAAAAGCTGTTTAAAAGCTGTAATGAAAGCCTTACGTAGCTGAAATTCATGGAGGGTAAATGCCCTAAATTCTATTTCAGTAGTTCATCTTGAGAAATCTTCAGTTTTATAAGAATGTTGATTAACCTACGGACTAGGATACACATGGAGGAATAATGATGAAATGGATATCATTGTAACATACCGAAGCCAGCTAGTTGTACCTAATCCTTTATAAGAGCTCGATTTATGTGAGAAGCTAACACGCACTGCCCAATTTAATTTTCAAACAGCTTGGTAATTTAAATATTTTTTCCTTTCACTGTTGTGGGACACTGAAACAGTAGTCAAAGTTGCAAAAGTATTAAGAACAAAAAAAGCATCAATCTACTACTTTTACAAGGACTGTTGATTCCCATAAGGGAAAATGACCCTTATATTAAGGGTGAAAAGACTAATGGGTGCTACAGATCTTTTATTTTTTTCCCCTCTCGTACAAGGATGTCAATTCAACTAACATTTTCTTCTCTCCCTCATTTACTACATTAGTGCTACGAGATGACTTCCGCCAAAACCCTACGGATGTTGTGGTGGCAGCTGGAGAACCTGCAATACTGGAGTGTCAGCCACCTCGTGGGCACCCTGAGCCTACCATCTACTGGAAAAAAGATAAAGTCCGTATTGATGACAGGGAAGAGCGGATCAGTGTGAGTACATCTCAGATGTTTTTTATAGGCACAAAGCCTGCATTAAAAGCACAGCAGCTGAGCACAGCAGACTGTCTTTGAGTCTTTCTTTGTACCTGATCGCATAAACCGCTGTAATGAAGACCAGAAACTGCTTGGCTTCGAAGTCACAGACTAGGAATAGGACAGTTTTTTGGGATTTCCTGGGTTGAGTCTGTGGAAGGACAGACAGAGGAGTCATGGGTTCCAAAATTGCAGAGACAGGGAAAAGTAAATCTAAACATACTCATCATTCCCATAGTGACTTGTTAATATACTTGTGAGTTTTCCTCTGTTTATTCCTTCTGATTCGTGCGTCCAGCTTGAACTTCCTGAGGCTTGCTTTGTGCAATAGTTATAACTGAGTCCTGTAAGAGCAGTTAAGTTTGATTGTGTGAGGTACTCTGTTAGATGTGAGCTGTCCCACTTTGGAACTTAGCGGATGCCTTTGACAAGTTCAGCTGTACATTTTCTTAACTTCAGTTCTCTGTAAAATGAGAACAGTATCAGACCCTATGTAAGAGAGGTGTCTTAAAGATGAAACCAGTCGTATCAATGGAGTACACAGATCTTCTATGTGGAAACAAACAAACAAACAAAAAAACAGTAGCTGAGGATTACATTAATAATCTAAAATTTAGGATAGAAATTGGGCTATGTATTCTGAAGAAATACTGAAATTATGTTCTGAAGTTGAATTGTTCCTGAATAGGAATGTGTAGTGAGTAAATGAGTAGTGATGGTATTTTTGTGATGGTTCCTTTTGTGTACTGAATGAAAAAGGACCCAGCACAGAGATTTAACCTATCGTGTGACTGGAAATTATTCCATGCTGTGCGCAAACTGGTGGGACAAATTAAGCATGCATGGACATATTTAATTCCTTTTTTTTTTTTTTTCCTTTTTTTTTATATGTTTTTCACTATTTCACTATTGATATTAATTTAATATTTTTTTTTTTTTTTTATGTTGTATAAGGTGATTTTTAGTTCAACCAGTGTTGATCTTATTCATTGTTGAAGTACTGTTAGGAAACTTATTCACTGTTTTAGATGTCTATAAATGGTATTTCTAGTTGAGCAATCTAAGTAGTTGCTACTTGTGGTATTTTGGGCCAGATCATCTATTCAAAAATAGATGAATAGGAAAGTGGCAGAGAACTGTGTGTCACTTCCTGTCTCTTAAGTTTCTTTGGCTATTATTCCTAGCTTATTTTGAAGCACTACATTCATGTCCTAACACTTCATAGCCTGCAAATTTGTTACTTTATTTCTTTCATCTACTCTGCTCTTTCACTCTACAAACATATTTTGCTTCTGTAGCCAGGAAAATATTAAGCTTTATGAGAGTGAGGTGAATTCTCAATTTAGTCTAGATTCAATCTGTTTGCATCAAGGAAAAGGGAAAATCTGTATTAATCAGTGAACAAGGAAATTTCAGGCAACAGTAACAATAAAATGAACTGGCTAAATAAAACTAAGTGAAACTGTTTTTCTTAACAGAGATGTCAAGTGTGTTTTACATATCATCATGCAAGAAATAGAAACATGCTGCATTGGCAAAGAGGCAGCAAGCAGTGATAAAAGTAAAGCATCTAATGAAAATCAAAGGGAAAAAAAAACACATTTAAAAGCAATCAGTAAGATAAAATGTGTTCTAGATCATCTTTAAGATATTTAAAGGTATGGGATTATTATTTTGCAGCCTTACATATATTTACAAATGGAATATTTAGATACCTTTAACTGTGGAGCTTGCTTGCCTGAGTAGTTTTTTCTGATGTCTTCTGTTTAACTGAATTTTAAAATGTATTTCTTGTTTTGAAACAGATACGTGGTGGGAAGCTAATGATCTCCAATACACGGAAAAGTGATGCTGGCATGTACACTTGCGTTGGAACCAACATGGTGGGGGAACGAGACAGTGATCCAGCAGAGCTGACTGTCTTTGGTAAATCTACTCTAGTTTTTGTTTCTATTTCTCTAGAAATGTTATATATTGAATTGATAGGTATATATAGGTGACTCATCAGAACATGACACAAAATCAGGTTAGCAAAAGGGAATAATATTGCTTAAACTGCATTTTCAGCTACTGGTTTCAGTGGCTACAATTTAACATTATAGATTTGTGATGGTCCAAGATTTTCCTTCTAAGCAAATTATTTAAATTTCTTTGGAGGTCCTTTGTTTTATGCATATGCTTAGAAATGATAATACAGGAAAATAATACTCTTCCTTTCTAATTTGCCGAAAGTAACTTAGCCCCTTCTAATACAGTTGACAGCAACAACTTAACAGAGGTTTGGAACAGTATTGCCTATTTAAATAATTACTTATTAATATGAAATCAAACCTTTGGAGGAGAGCACAGAAGAGCTCAATGGACCAGTAAAAAGTCATTAGAGAAAATCTGAGATCAACTTTTTGAAAATATAGTGATATTTCTGCCATTTGTCTTTTAAAGGACACAAAGTAGATTTTCATCCTGAAAACCAAGGACATTATTTTGGGTTTTGATATTGCTAAATGAATCAAAAAAATGGATAGGAGAGAGTCCAGAGCTAGAATATAGTAATACTGATCAGACAGCTGGGTGCATCCTGCTAACAAAAGAAAGAAAGCCGTTAAATCCTGCTGTGGTACATCCTGTAGTCATGACATTTCTATTTACCAGTAGCTGTGATTCTGTAGGAATCAGTCAAGACATCTTGAGCAAATAAAAGAAAATCAATAAAGAAAAAAGCCTTCACTGCTAAAAAAAAATTAATTACATACATATGAAAAAGAGATACTCTTAGTGCTCCTTCCTACAACACCTTCTCAATAGAATACTGAAATTCCAAACAAGACTGCTTTTAAATCTAGTAAGACTTTGCAGAAATACCTCAGCTACTTTGTAGAGTAGGTACTCCTAATTTGCTCATGTAATGCCTAATATGGTGCACTAGAAAACAAAATTGCAGATATTACTGTCTGCATTTGCATATAAATATGGTTCAGCACCTTAAAAGTTATATTGTGGGTCTCACTAGAGAACACAGAAAAGATTCTACTCAACAAAATTTGTGAGTGACTTGAAGATTTGCTATTCTCTGATATTACAAGGCTGTGAAGGCTTCCACTCTACTCATTTTGTCACGTATTCATGGAAGCATATGACTTAAAAACAGAAATGGTATACCTTGCAAAAAGTGCAGAAAGGATTTCCATTAAATTATCATGTCCTTCACAGGCAATCTGTTGAGGTTGTGCCGTTATATAGATGTTAAAGAGACAACATGGGATATCTTCTTCATCAGCTTAAGTGTTAATAATCTCTGGTATTATTCCCTGTGGATAACAAGTACATTGAGACCCTGAACTACAAAGCCTTAAGAAATCCTTAAGAAACTAATTTGTTAAAAACCACTGAGCTGTAGGAATAAAAATTATGAAATATGCATGTAATTTTATATCGTATACCTAAATGTTAGGTTTTTCTTGACATGTAAAACAGTCAGCTACAATTTTCTGATTTTTGGAGAGACTTTAATAATAGAAATCAACTCATAAAATATAATCTAAATCTATTTTGTGAATACAGAACAAAATTAACAATTAATGAAATTTAAAGCTTTAACTATATTTTACTGTGCTAGCCTGTTTTAAAAAAATGTATTCAAAATTCACTTCCAATATGCTATCTTCCTATATAAAATTCCTCTCGTGTTTAGGTAATTTCCCTTCCTGTCTTCTCTATAAGTAGCATGCAAGAAGAAGTGGCTCAACTTATGATCTATTGTTTGACAAGATAATTCAACTCTCATATGCCCATTCCCTGGCTGCTATCTAGTCCTGAAACTGTGTTTTGGCATATTGGGCTGACTGTATAGATGTGTTCAGGTTAATTCTGGTCCACTCTGTACAGAAGAAGATGGCCTGGCTTTGTCTTCCATCAGCAGAACAGTTGTGCTCCTCTCCCATACTACGGGCAGCAGATCCTGCATGGGTGCATGTGTGCATAAGTGCTCTGTAAAGCATTACCCATGATGTTTACAGGAAGCAGTGTATCTACTGGAGACAGTTTAATCAGTCTAGACAATAAATGCTGATTAGCAGATTCATATTATTGTTTTTTTTTTTACTTTTATTTTTTGCTTGCTTTTGTTGATGTTGTTGATTGTTTGTTTAAATAATAAACCTGAAAAAACCTTTCCATACAGTGAGGGCAGCCTTAAAAAGCACTCTTCTCTGTTGGAAATTTCACACTAGCTCTCGAGGCTTTCCAGGATTCAGCCACATGTTACTTTTGGCTCTGCAAGTTTTTCTGCAATACCTGAAGTTAATTTATGCATATCACTTCTGACAGATCTCTGGCTTCCTGTGCAGTAAATTTAGCTTGAAGCATTGCCTGTGGAAAAACTGAGTCAGTGTGCTGGTAACTGGTGGCCCGGCAGGAACAGCATGGAAACCTAGCCTAAAAGATTACACCTTTCCTGAGTTAAACATAAAAAAATAAAAAATAAAGAAGGCAATAAAACCCTTGGAAAGAAATAGGAGGAGAAAATAAGTTTCCCATATGCAGAATATATCCAATCAGATGGGTACCCATTCAATAACCTTTGCTGGAAGATTGTTGAGGATAATGCCTGTACAGCTCTCACAAAACAAGTCATTTTTTTTTCCAACCCCATATGCACAGGAAACATAGTTTTCAACATTAGGCCCTCGCCTGGGATAAGGATGTTCAAGCACTTTTTTTATTCCCAAGATACTAGTCTTCCACAAGCAAAAACTTGTGAAAGTGAATACTGTCAAAGGAAAATATAAAACTGATAATGTAAGCAGAACTTCCCAAAATTATTTTTGAATAGTGTTTGAATAATGAGAGCAATGGCATTAGATTTTGTCATCTTCTTTTCCACAGTTGCTTGTTTTTGCCTTTGTGATGCTCCAAGGTGTAATGTTTTAGTATAGCATGGATACGGATTCTGTGAGACCTCAAAGTGGCTTTTAAGGAAAGTTAATAACTAATCCATCAATTCTCACATTCACAGAAAGAGGCAACATAGCACCTTATTATTATGGACCCATTTTTTAAATGCCAAATTCAGAAGCATGATACAAATTATGCTGTTTTGTATTTGGGTTCATAGCCTTTGGCTGAACAGAATTCAGGTAAGATGAAAAACAGAAACAATTTCATTTCAATTTGTAAGAAAGCTAGGTTTATAAAAACATAATATGGAACTAGAAATTAAAGTAATAATTAGTGTTTAAGTTAGCCTTTTACAATTTTGTCATATTCTCACACTGTTCTCAAGTAAGTTTTCAGGATGGTTTAACTATTTCAGACTCCTTTTTGTTCCTTTGGACTTCAAATGTTTTGTTTGAAGAGAATGTACAAAGATATATCTTGTATATTGATTCTGAAGCTCAGTGAAATCAATGAAAGCCTTAATCTATCAACTTCAAGAGGCTGGCACCGGGCACTGAAAAGAAGTGAGTTATATTTAGAATAACCTCAAAAGAATATGAATTGTAACTAATAAAAGTATGAAAATATCTTAAAAGATATGTGAATTTAGACATATTAAATATTGTTTTGTGATAATCTTTGATTTTAGCTTTGGTACCCAAACCTTTCTTCAGCTAATAAGGTCCTGTGGGATGAAGAGGTACTTTCTTCTGATGCTTGAAGAAATATTTGCGTTTGATGTTCTCTTGATATTGTCAGGCTGAAACAGATACCATAGTTCCAGCAAGAGTATACTGTGATGACAAGATGTTAGAAGAAGAAATCCAAAAACCCCTTAATGAAGACACTGTGCCCTATTTTTCTTTCCTGAATTCTATGTGGAAGGCCCTAGCAGAATCTTGTCACATCATATCTTGCAAATTAGTCCCAAAAGATTTCCCAGCCTTGTGGAAAACCTGCCTAAATCAAGTTTACATTCACAGTCCAAGACAGAGATGTTACCAGTGTGCATTTTGTTTTTCAGAGCTTGTCTTCCTATTTTTCTTCAAATCCTTAATGCTTCCCATTTGCAGCATGCTTGTGGCAGTTTGTAAAGAAGCATCATGTCTTTGCAGTATTTGTTTTCCACTGATACTGATAAGGTGCAATAGGATGATACAATAGTGAAAAGGGTTTGATCAAACTCCAAATTTTGTATTTATGCTCAGTAAAAACTACCTCTGCAATTAATACCTTGTTAAATGTATGCAATAGGAGGAAAACAATGAGTTGAAAAAAGTAATTTTAGTCCTACTGTGCTGTGCACCCTCACTGTGCAAGCTCATTGCATATTGGCTAGCTCATAAGTGTGCAATGTCTACATAAGTGCTTATTTTTCAAACAGAAAAAGTGCCTAAAAAGTGGTTGTACAAGGGTATCTTCAAATAGTAAAACATGTGCTATTGCAACTGTATTTTCATTTGTTTGACTGGCATCCTACCATACCATCTTCTTCCTCATCTTCATTTTTGGCAGAGAGCTTTACTTCATGCAGCTCATGTTGAAGATAATGGAATATCTACATTATTGACAGCATATTGAAGTGAAACTTTCTTCCAGTCATCTAATGTTTCTTTCTTTCCTTTGCATTAGAACACTAAGGTGAAAAATGTTTTTTTTCTTAAACTATTTACTATTAAATCCCTCCCCAGAATCATCTTTTTAACTCATGTTTTATTACTTCTTTGTACAATAGGGAATATTTTCAAAAAATGATGCCTTCTCTCTAGCAAAGGAGAAAACAGTTTTAAATCAGATTGAGTCTTCACCTTATGGAGACCATCAAATCTTTCATTGTAGCAGTTGCCTCAGCAGACAAAATATATTAAGGTAGTTAGGATCATTTTAATTAGATTGAGATCCCATATATGGCTGTCTGACTTTTTGAGAAACTGAAAAAGGGCAATAATACATCTGAAGGTCGCCTGAATCTCTCTAATACAGTGTGATACACAGACTTCTTGTTAAATGGAGGAGAAATTGAGTTCTGGGGTTTACTTGTGTCAGCACCCAAAGCAAGGAAGAATTTTTTGTATGTTTCCAGCTTGAAACTGTCCTGTGATTTTCTTCCAGTGCGTATTTGAAGCACTGCAACATACTGTAGGTGTCTGGATTGCAGCAACAATCCCCTTCTATAATTGCAAGCAAAGTTTATTCTGAAGTTAGAAAGGTCATTCCAATAGTACTACAACTCTTTGACATGACATATAACCGTGTTCTATTTTATAGCTCTCTTCAAAGATTTTTAATATTCATCAGAGAAAGCCCAGAAAGCAGGTGCTTTATTTACCCACTAAAAACTTATAAAATAAATCTATTAAAAGTTTTATGTATGTTACTATTTTTAATTTATTGCACTTTGTTTTTCAAATATATTATATTTTGAAAGCCCTTGACAGAGTAACAATGTCTGTTTATACCATAAGGCTTTATTTATGGGCAAACCATTTAAAAAGAAAAAAAAATCATGGTGTATTTTCTCAGGTTTGCCTCTGAAACTGTATTTGACCCGACTGTGCAAAGATACATTTTCTATTTAGCGTGCTCAGGCAAGCAGTGCTCTGTCTCCTGAGAGATTAATGTTGTAAGCAAGTTATGCAGGTGACTCAAATCCAGTTAATCTCACATAAAGAATGTTAATTGCATTAGCAATGGCATTCACTCTGATCACTTTATAGCTGTATAATTAGCAATTGAATGTATTCAAGGAGTTGTCTGAATGATACAAAAACGGGAAACAACGTGAGAGAGAATTTGTTGTTTCCCGAAACAGACTGTGAAAAATGTAGAGATAATAGAAAAATGGAAATAGCAGTTATTGTTATTTGCATGTCATTGATAACTGTGATCTGTACTTACAAAGCTATTTATTTTCTAGCAAATTCGTAACTATTTTGGAAAAAGCAATTTTTAAGAACCTGATCTGAAAGTTTTGTTATATATTCCTAAATTGTCTTGGTGTAGAATTGAGTGATTTACATAATGATCTTTTGGCCATTTACTGCTTCATCAGCAGAGTTCTCTTCAAAATGTGATAGGAATTTATTTTCTGATCTCCTGTGTAGAAGCTTTTATAGCCACAAGTAGCAGTTTCATAAATATGCAAGTCTTAGTTTCTTAGATTTTTACAGGCAGCTTTTGTAAACATGTCAACAATTATTTCTGTATGCAGATCAAGCAAATATAGAGGTATACGCAGAGTTATTGTGTTCAAAGCTAACTAACTTCGAATCACCTATAAGGATGTTTATTGGGATCTAATTTTTTGGTTAAGGATCATCTCTTGAAATACAAATACCAGAATGTAGACTGAGCTCTTTTAGGAGAAAAGTTGTGGAGAAAAACTTACAGAAAGTTTAATTAACATATTCCCTTTCTGATGCACGTCTTCACAGGTAGGCCAAATGCACTGCTTAGTGCTACGTGCTAAGGCAGACAGCTAATGCTTTTGCTACTTTGACCAGTATAAATGCTTGTCAGACTAAAATGTCTTTATCCGAATTCTTCCATGCTTGATGTTCACTTTAGCTGATTTTTATTTTTAATGCTTTTAAATTGTCACAGAGTCAGAAAATCATTTGAGTTGGAAGAGACCTTTAAAAGTTGTCTATTCCAACTCTCCTACAATGAACAGGGACACCTACAGCTAGATCAGGTTGCTCAGAGCCCCATCTTGCCTTACCTTGAAGATCTCCAAGGACAGTTCTTCCAACACATCTCTGGACAATCTGTTCCAGTGCTTCACTACTCTTAACATAATTTTTTTTTCCTTACATCCAGTCTAATTCTCCCCTCTTTTGGAAATAATTTCTTCCAGTCATATAATCGCAAAGCCTACTGTAATATCTGTCCCCTTTTTTGCAGAAGTCCCCTGTAGATATTAAAAGGTCCTCCCAGAGCCTTCTCTTTGCCAGGCTGAACAGCCCCAACTCTCTTAGCCTGTCCTCACAGGGAAGGTGTTCCATCTCTTGGGTAATTTTTGTGGCTGTCCTCTGAATGTGCTCCAACAGGTCAATGTATCTCCTGCTCTGAGAACCCTACATCTAGACGCAGTACTCCAGGTGAGATTTCATCAGCACAGAATAGAGGGACAGAATCACCTCCCTCAACGCTCTTTTTGATGCGACCCAGGACACATACGGTTGGCTTTCTGGGCTGCGAGGGCACATTGATGGCTATCCATTCAGTACACCCACATCCTTTTCAGCAGGGCTAGGTCTCTATCCTTTGTACTGATAGTCGGGGTTGCTATGACCCAGCTGTAAGAACTTGCACTTTAATTCACTGAAACTCATAAGATTCACCTGGGCGCACTGACTTCTAGGTCTCTTTGAATGGTATCTCATCCCTCCGGTGCATTGACCACTCCACTCAGTTGCTGTCATCCACAAACTTGCTGAGGATGCTCTCAATCCCACTGTTGATGTTACTGAGGAAGACATTAAACAAAATTCTTTCAAATACTGAGGGATACTACTTGTCACTGATCTCTGTCCGGACACTGGACCATTGACCACCACGCTGTGGGTACAGTCTTAACCAGTTCCTCATTCATCAAATGGTCCATCCATCAAATCAGTATCTTTCCAGTCTGGAGAGAAGGATGTTACTGGGGACTGCGTCCCTTATTGAAGTCCAGACAGATGACATCACTGGCTTTTTCCTTTCCATTGGTGCAGATACACAATCATAGAAAGCCAGTAAGTTGGACTGGTAGGACTTGTTCTTTGTTGTTCTGTGTTTTGTGTCACACCGCTCTCTTCCACATGCCTTGGCATAGCTTCCAGGAGGATCTGTTCCATGATCTTCCCCAGTATAGAGTTGAGGCTGACAGGTCAGTAGTTCCCTGGTCATTCTTTCTACACCTATGTTCCCAACAGCTACTGCAAGCTTCAGGCACAGGATACAGAACAAAGAGGGACAAAAAGTTGGAGAACAGGAATGGCTTGGGAGAAAACAGGGAGAACAATGTCTGTCCCTTAGACATGTTACTATCTAACACCTGGAAAATTGCTGTTGATTCTTGAATGTGTCTGTTGCTCTGCTGACAAAATATATTTTTCCTTGCCTTTAGGTAACTATGCTTGTATTATGGAATTCCACGTGATGCTGAGTCACTGATACAAATAATTATTAACAGGCTGTTTTTGTATTCCTTACTTTCTGCCTTACTATTTCAATCTGTATAAGTTCACATTTTATCAGATGCAAGTGAATTCAGTGGAAGCTGAGCTTTGAACATATAAAATGAATGCTAAATTCTTAAGAAAAAATAAATTGACAGTTTTGTGTCTCAAATTAGGCATGAAAATTTAGCAGATTTTTTTTTAAGCTTGCTTTCTTAGATCTCTATCACATCCCTCCGAGAGGGGCTGTGAAAGTAAATGAATTGTTTATGAAGCATTGAGATAGGTGTAATGGAGATCAGGAGGAAAGTAATAATTCTTTCTTTGAAGAGAGGTTTGAGTTGTGCAACAGGAGGCCACCCACTAAACAGTACAACAAAAGCAAAATATTAAACACCTGCTCATTAGATGAAAACCAACCATACAGACATGTTTAGGGGAAGAGTTGCATGTGATCATGTAATTGCAACCGTTCCGATAAAGCAGAAAGGGAATGAAGAAAAGGCATACAAACAGCCTTAATTTTGACACTTCTGGCTTTTAGGTGCTGCATGTTAAATTTTGCAACTTTATTAATGTTCTTTTAATGTTTTTGTTTGTTTATTTGTTTGTTTTTCAATTTGCATATGTTAAACATCTATAGCAAGCCCATAAATTCAGCTCTGTGGTTAGGAAAACAATCTGCCTAAGTCAGAGTCTGGTATTGCTTACATCTGTGTAAATTTTGAATAATTTTCTAAGTGACATCATACCACTCAACTTACTGAGAATGAAATGTGAAAAGTAGTGTGTAACTGGTTTTAGATGTCTTTATAATAAATCCCTGTCTTGAGTGGAAATATTGCTTCATGTAAACCCAGTCTTATAATGGTTTGTCTCTGGCATAAATAATTTATGACAATAAAAGTGTGGTATGGCTAGGAGAGGACAGAACAAAATTTATGCAATCCAAAGGCAACTTGGAAACTAACCCCAGTGACATCCTTTCAAATGAAATTACCGGTACTTTGAGTTTGTACCACTCTAACTGACATCAGATTGTGGCTCTGCATCTGGATTTCAAACAGGCCTGTGCAACATTATGATGATTAATAATATTTGTAGCTTTGCAGACTAACATAACAAGGGTAAACAGAACTTATTATTGAGGCCTTAATTTATTTTTTCCATGATGAAGTTAGTGATGGAAATTAGTGAAGATTTGACCTCCACACAACAGCTCTCAATCGGTTGGGACACCTAACACACAGTTTGCATTTTCCTCCAAAGCATCAAGCTATTGATCATTGCCAAAGGCAGGATATCTCTGTGGGCAGCTCATATATTTCTGGAGCAGACAGTAGCTTTTAAATCACACTTAGACCATGCAGCAGTGCAGAGCTAAAGAGTTCACATGGAAGGGCATGATCTGGAAGACGTCCCCAGTTGCTGTGACAGGCAGACAGCCGGTGCTGGCACGCGCTTCGTGCTAGTGGCACTCAGCATTTATGTGAAGGCCAGACATGACAACCTCAGCATCTCCATCCCAGCCATCACTGTTCTGGCTGCCGGTGCACATCATCAGTTCCACTTGTCTGAAGTTGTGGAACCTAGCCCTCTTTTCTATCTTCTGCGGTTTGGTAAACAAAAATTTGCTGAAAAGTCAAAAGTTTTTTTTCATTTCAGCCCTTTGACTCACTGAGGAATTTAATTTTTAATATCTCTTTTTAAGAGCGGCCCACGTTTCTCAGGCGACCAATCAACCAGGTGGTGCTGGAGGAGGAGGCCGTGGATTTCCGGTGCCAGGTGCAGGGGGACCCGCAGCCCACCGTCCGCTGGAAGAAGGACGATGCAGACCTGCCAAGAGGAAGGTGAGAGCAACATTTGTGTTCCCCTCGCATTCAAACTTCCACTGTTGAGAAGCTTTGAAACTACTCTTGATATTTCCCATGTTTCTGGTCTTTGGCACTACAAACTGTGTTCTAGAGCCAGCTGAGCAGGGAAATGCACTCTGAGCTGCATTGTCCAGGTCATGGATTCCAGTGCAAGGAAGAAAACTGATGCATAGCTGTTGTAAACAGACGGCTATTCACTGCATCTTCAGGACAAAACTGAAGATGTCTTAAGGGCTGCACTAGTAAAAGTAGCCTTCAGAAAAGGGAAAGGTACAGACTTTCTCTGTGACACTTATGGGATGCATTTGTGGCAGAGCTTTGCTGGTTCTGCTAATGTTCACTATGTCTCAGAAAACTCTTCCACTGGAGAAGTCAAAAGAACTTCTGATATTTTTATCAGAAGTGGAAAACACTAGGTTAATTCTTTTGGTCACCAGTATTATTTCTGCTTCTCCAATCATGGTCTTAAAAAAAGAGCAACTGTGTTGGTGTTTGACTGGTTTAACCCTGTCAGTGTATATCAAATGTTCTGAGAGCACACTGCTGTGACGGGGACTAACTAAAACAAGTTGGAAGTTTTGGCTTATTTCATCATTACAGCATGCCTTACATCTTCACCCTAACTAGGTAAAGTGTGATAATTCCTAGGAGTCATACAGTAAATGGTCATCATTACATCTGGGGTTAACATCACTTGTTTTTCAATATCTAAATCTTGAATAAAATAACAAAACTCAAATTGGTCTGTAGCTGTTTTTGCTTCCACTTCCTCAGCTCTATGTTTGATGTGAACATGGAATTATTTAATTAAATACTAGTGAATGTATTGTGCTGCTGTGATTTAGTCTTACTGCTTAAGTTGTTTTAAATCATACCTACTTCTAGGTCTTGTAAGCAGAACAGGTGGTGCAGTTGCAGTGCCTTTGATTAGGCTGCATGCTGGATTAGGTTTTTAAAATGGTTTTATGTACCTTTTTTATATATTTTACTGTTAAAAACAAGTTACTGTGTGTTTTGAGGTAATTTCTTCTGTCCAGTTGTGATGTCTTTTTTTCTAAGATAAAAAATGTAACAGGAAATGGGAACAGTTATCATAGTGTTTTAATATCAGATACCTTCTGATGATATTCAACTTCACTCTCAGAAACTGTTCATTTCTGCAGTGGTTTTCTTTTTCTTTTTTTTTTTTCTTTTCACTGCTGTTAAATGATTAATTAATTGTCTTTGGGCATCTTCAAGTAGAAAACAGAGCTATGTCTTCAGCTATGTCTTCTTTAGACCATCATGGGGATGGGTGAGTAATGTGCAGAGTTACAGCATCTCATGCTGGAGGCCACCTTGGGTGATAGAGGATGGCCAGTGCTATTGCCTATGTAGAAGGTTACCACCATATGGATTTTGATCATCTAGTGGTCCAGTATTAATGCCTTAAAAACAAACACCAATTATCAGGATTGTATGTTTTCAAAAACAATATACATAAGCAGAATCTTCAATGTCCAAAGGGTGGAAATTTCCAAACCATGATGCACGTTGTTTAATCACAGAAGATAAACTATCTGAAGTGAATTTTTCTCTGTTTTTTAATGCAAACAAATTTTCCCAAGGGTGAGTTGAAAGAATGAGGCGAGAAAATGAAAATTCAGGCAGAAATTTCTTAATTTTTTTCTCCTTGATGAAATATAAAATTTTCTTTTTCTTTTTCTTTTTCTTTTTTTTTTTTTTTTTTTGAGGTTAGAAAAGAATGTCACTTTCATTTTTTGAAGTCCTGTATTTTAAGCATTTTAATATAAATGGTGAATTATGAAATTTGAAGGAATTCCCTTTGTTATAATTTCATAAATAAATAAATCCTTTTTCTGAGCAGATCTGTGCTGCTATTTGTCTTAGAGATTTCAAAAACAATTTCCTCTTTCTACAGCTAGTGATGTTCTCTGCACATTTGCCCTTCTGGTTTTGGCTGTGGGGCTTTTTTGTTGTTGTTTTTTAATTATTATTCCAATAATTTCCTTTTGGCCACATCCCTAGGTTACAAGATAATTATAGTAGATACCTGCTTCAGTAAGTACTGCAAATTATTATAATTTTCTATTATTAATTTAATTTTCAAAAATACGTTGGTCAGTAACAGCAAAGTGGGATAAACTGAATACTCTGTATTTCTATGCGTTTTGTTTCTGTATTCCACTGATGATGAATGCCAGAATCAGTGATGCTGTATCCATAGTATTCCAGAAACCCTTCTCTGCTTTTCTATATTAGTTCCTTCAAGTTCTTTCAATTTTTTACTGAAATATGTGAAAGCAAAGAGAAAAGCAATAGCAGTAATTTCTGGTTGCAAATATAAACAGTACTGCTCCACCAATTGGTGTGTTGAGTAATAATTGGGAAATAATTTCAGGCTATTACAGTTTTAATTATATAAGTCCCTGGTGAACTGTAAACATCTCCACTCACAGTTGGACTGGGGGAGGGAATAACTTCTAAAGAAGTAAATGTGTTTGAAAGTATGAAAATTTAAAAAATCTTAATTTAGGTATTTTGTTTAATTGTCTTCGTAATTACCCAGAAATTTATGAACAATTGTGCTTTGAAACTAAGAACAGATGGGACACAAGTTTATTCTGAGTGTACAGATCTGTATTCCAAATTTTCACTATTTTGAATTAATGATCTAAAACAACTATCAGCTTATATTTTTGAATTTAAGACCTAAAAGTTGTTCAACTAGTCAATATTTTTAAAGTGTCTGCAAAAAATATGTCTCTCTGTCACTCAGAGGGAGCTTCTTTTCCTAAATCCTCTAGACATGACCTGAGATTTCAAAGATCTCTGTACACATCATGGAGCTTTTTATGTAGCTTTTCTGTATCTTTGACAGGAATTAAGAAAGCATTAGGAAGTACCAAGTGGAAGTGGTGGTGTGAATTATGCATAGCTGTATTCTTAGGATTTTTTTGCCTTCTGTTTTACTGTGTTGGCCCATGACCTCAAAGATGAATGTGATGATATGTCGCAGTAGAAGTTGAACCTTCCCACCAATATTGCATTATGTTTTGCTGCCATGTGACAGATGGCAGAAGAGGGACAGTCTGATGGAATGGTGTCCAGCATGGAAGTGTGTGTAAAGAACCCATTTACATTTATTAACAGTTGATGAGCTTTTATGGAGACCAAACAGTGAATGTGAGCACTGTGATGCAGTGACTGTGTTTCAGTAGAAGCAAGAGCCACATTTCAGTGACCCATGCAGATTTTTACAGGTGTGCCTTGCAGGCTTTTGTTCATTACTGGTGAGAATGCACAGCTTATGGTGGTGACTATGTAGAAAGACAGTGTTATGTAACTGAGAATTTGCCCTATCTTTGTTACTGTGCTCTTTGTATCTGTGGTAGGTTCCATGGAAATAATTAGGAGGCATTACTTTCAGAGCAAGCTATGTATATTTTTGTAATAATTAATTAAATTATTCAGACTTGAAAATTCTTTTTAGACCCTAAACCAATCCCAGCATATTAGTAGCTTGCTAAAAATACTGATGCTGTACCCATAGGCAGAAATAAAGGGCAATGTGAAATGTAGGTTGTATAAAGCTGTTTTTCCAGAAGCTGTCCATTTTAAATCAGCGAGAAGAAACTGAAATGGATTGTGAAACCAGGATAGAGGCGCGTGGTGTATATTTTATTTTACTTGCTTGCTCTAAAGATTCAACATCACGCCATACCTTCCACAGTATACAAAGGCGAACGGAATAGTTAATCAAGTATGACTCGTGTCAAATTACTGGAGGTGAACAGGATATTGTGAGGTCAGTAGTCTTTATGCCTTTGGCTGAAATACTAGATTCACAACTTCATGAATAGTGTTTCTTTTCTTTATAAGCACCTCAAGGAAATGGCACAAAAATTGTTCTAAAGCTGTACTAAAGCAACTCAGCCAGTTGCAGCTATGCAGAATGATCAGGAAATACTGAAAATTAAATGAAAATCATTTTTACTTATACATTGAAGTCTTTTTCTAACCACAGGTTCAGGTAGCTTCCCTTTGATGTCTGCTTGGCAGAAATAGAGATTATACTTTCTTGCTAAGAGTCTGATGGTCTCCTGTGTTGTCAGGAATTCAATATGGCTTGAATCAACTCTTGATTCATCTGCTTTTCATTCCTAGTAACAAGAAAAAAGTGATATTACTTGAGAGTCTCCAATATGAGAGTGGCATATCTATGACTAGCACTTTAATAAAATTTGAATAAGGTTTGTACAGTGTTTCATGTCTTCAAATTTTCTAGCAGAGTCAAAGAGAGCAGCTGCACAGTCTGTAATTACATAGCAAGTAATACGTATTTTTTTTTTTTCCTCAGGAAGTGAAGAGATTTTCAATTACAAGTTAAAATTTATGACACACTATAATAACTGTTTAAACCTTTTACACAGAAGAAGCTAACAGTGCCAGCTCTTTGGGAAAGTGAAGTTAGCTCAGCAAATGTATTTTTCAGTTGCCTTAAAAATGACTGAGTAGCAATCACTTGGGCCTTTTTTTGCATTCCAGCAAAGAACAGCTGGCTTAGCTTAGTAAATACATCTCTAATGAAATTACAACCTGCTCTTGTAAGTTGCATTTACAGGCATTGTCTGATTAGATGAATATTATACTAGAAATGAAGAGTGGCATCTACACCAGCAGGAAGATGTATTTGTTTTATGTACTGTCCACACAATGGAAGAGTGTAGGCAGAAAAATCAAGAGTGATGCTTCAGAAGGAAAACAGTGTGTAGTTTATCAAGAGTATATTGTGCTAAGAGATTGCAGGCTCTTAGATGAGACAGAGCAGTGATACCCACTAATGAAAAACGTAGTCACTAAAAATTAAAAATATTCATTAAAAAGCATTAGGGAAAATGAATTATTTTCTGGTTTTTAAAATTTATATACATTTAAGTGCATTAAAGTATTGTCATTGTTTTCTGAGAACTGTA